CACCTCATACTTTACACCTGTACCTATCACCTCATACTTTACCAAGCACCTCTAATAATTTAAATCACCTTTTATCAAAGCAAGCACACAGAAAGAGTGAAATAAACCATGATTCATATGGAAAGTTTGCTAAGTTATGCCAATTTTATATTTTTAGAATGTAAGACTGTTGTCACAGTTTGTATCACCACATACTGGCCGTATATATGGACGTCAAGTAACAGGTATAATTAAGGAAATACAATGCCCCCCCTCCACACACACACTCACATACACTAAACATATTATCCACCAATGATATGAAATGATATCCACCTAACCTATGTCCACCCAAATTCTCCACAGTTGTTATCTATGTAGTACTAGTATTGCTGAGTAGAGTGCAGTAGACCCTTTTCAAGTTCCAAATCACTGCTGTGTTTCTTGACTACAAACTCATTTACTCAGGCTTAGACTGGCATCAGTGTATTATCAATATTCACAGATATCAACAGTAAAGACGAATGCACAACTCCAACAATACAAACACTTTGAAATTTGACGGACCTTGACTGAGACACATGAATATTCTACACAAAATCAAGGCTAAGCCTGAGTAAATGAGTCTGTAATCAAGGAACACAGCGGTAATTTGGAACTTGAAAAGGGTCTATATAGTGTCATATATCCATGAAATAGCACAAAAAATAAATAGCACTAAACACATATTTTTATTTTATTTTCAATTATTTCATAGGTGCTATTTTGTACTAATTAGTTATACTATTTCATGAATGTGGTTTGCACTCTATGATATTTACTTGCTTTTAACACATACTTTCTTTATGCCTTCTTCATTGTGCTTTCAGGGTTATGTAACAAAAGACAGATGGAAATCACCAAGACTATCAAAAGAGCAAGAGCAATGGGTAAGCAGTAATTTTGTAGTGCATTTCCGAGGGTAACAGGATTATAAGTAATGTCAAATGTAAGATCATTAATCAGATCATAATTCCACTTGCATGGTCAGCTAGTTGGAACTCACTTAGCTGGGTTTTGTAAGTGATATAGCATGCTAAAAACGTCCGTCATAAAACCATCCATAACACTGACAGTACACCACACTTGTAAAAACCTCGATGTAAAAATATTGGCAAAAAAATCTCACCTGAGTTTTACAGTGTACTCCAGCTAAGAGTTTTTCATAAAAAATTTCACATTGACAGTACATCACACTCGTAAAAACCTTGATGTAAAAATATTGGCAAAAAAATCTCACCTGAGTTTTACAGTGTACTCCAACTAATAGTTTTTCATAAAATTGTTCTCTTACTATTTAGAGTTCTTGATTTTGTATAAATCATTCACCAATGAGAGCAAAACCCTTGGAATTCTAAAGCAACTTCATCTTTCAACTACTAGTTATAGTAAATAACATTATATTAATTACAGGCTTATAAGGCTAGTAATAATGGGCAATAGTAAGAGAACTTGATGGAAAAATCAAGGAAAAGATCATTTCCAGATTTAAAAATCCATCTTGGTCACAACTGATTTGGAATTATTTTTTATTTTAGGTCTCATGCCAATCACTATGAAATACCTGGAGTATCATAACGATCCAAAATTATTTTGAATTCATCTTACATTTTCATTGATAAAACCTCACCCTGTAACAGTAGAACTCAATATGTACATAATTTAGTCTTTGGTAACTTCATGTACAAAGAGCTTGTACTGAATAAACAAAAAAAAAATAGCCAGTTGTTAAAATATGATTTTTAATTCTGTACAGCATGTACTGTCTGATATATTTGGACAGTGACTGCAGTAAATGCCATGAAATATAAAAACAGAAAAATATGAGATGAAAAATTCGGAAGATATTTTCAGTGGCTTTGAAGTTATAGAATTTTGAAACCAGCAAAATCTATGAAATCATTTTTGGGTAGCAATTTAAGTTATTTTCTAAATATTAGGTGATCCATTTCTTGTAAAAGTTTTCGTTGCCCAGCTGAGCTAAACATTACAATCATTTGGTAGTAAATAAAGCTGGTTGTGTGGGCATGTCCATAATAGTAGTGTACAAGTCAAAGTAAACCCCTACCCACCACCCCAGGATATATGAGGGGATTAGTATTGAATAGCGAACTAAAACTGACAAATGCCCCACCATATGGGCCAACTAAATTTGGCTTGGCAACATATTCTTTAACTAGTTTTGTAAAATGCTGCGACCCAGAATTTTTTGTGGGATCAATGACCAGCATCTTTGAATTAAATGAATCCCACCTAATGCCCCACATTCCTTTGGCAGGGATGACAAAGTGTGTGAATCCCCCACATAATGATAAATCCTAAGGTATCCTAGGTAATATATCCCCTCAAAGCCCCACATATCAGGGGGGGATTCTAATGATCAAATCTTAGACCTCTAGCTCTGAAGGCTGTGCAGTAACCAACTGAGCCGCGCTAGTTGTTCAAAAGTATGAAAAATTCAGAACCAAAAGGAATTTTTAGTGTTTTTTCTTTCTCATTTTTAAATTGTTTTCAAGTTTATCAGCACCAGCTTTTCATTAATCTTCTGGTCAGAACTACAACAAGGAATGATGGTGATACAGGGGGTAGTCTCCTTTACAGAGGGCAACTATTGAAAAATCTGCAATATTTGAATATCATTTATTAAAATAAATGGCTTCTAATCCTTCCTACCATCCAACATGGCTTCTATCACATAATTGTGAAAACCTTTCCATCTATGAAGTATTACAGTGCGACTACACCAACCAAGGCCACCAAGACAAATTTTCATACAAATTAGCCAATCACGATCGAGTATTTAAACAATAGAATCTGTACAAATTTTCGCATTTCCCTCTTTAAAATCATGTTTTACTTTATACGAGTGTGTGTATGATAAGGAGTGGACGAGAAACAGTTTAAAACCCAGAATTCACTAATTCATCTGTTATGCAGCGTTAAAAATGTGAGTTGTATTGTGGATTTGATTTAAAATTTGTTTGGGTGGCCTTGGTTGATATAGTCACACTGTAAGTTACTACCAACTCTAAGGGTACAGTTACTACCAACTCTAAGGGTACAGTTACTACCATTTCATGTATTTTGCGTATCTCTAGAAAATACCCATCTTTGCTACAAAGAAATTGTTGTTGATTTGACCCATGTACATGTAAATACATGAGGAAGCACTACACCCCCCGAAAAAAAACCTGCTGCACCACTTAAAAGTTCCCCTATTCTTGAACAAGGTATGGACATCTTATGGAACTACAAAATTACAAATACCATTAATAGCAGATGATGCTGATTTTAGTAAGTTGGAGAATCTAATAATGCTTGCTCTCCTAGTGTAGATACTCCTTGATTACATTTGTCATCAGGCAAGCTATAGTCCTGAGTTTCATCATCATCTACATCAAGTGAAGCTGCAACATCTTTCCTGGTATTCTGGTAGTCATTTCCAAGAGACTGACGTTGGTTTAGCGCAGTCTTGTGTGATGGTCGATTGACATTCATTCCATCACTAAAATCAATTAAGTTATTACTTGTTGAAGTGTCCATGTGTTCTACCTCTCTTCTGTGTGAATGACTATGTGTTTTGCTAGCACCAGACCTTCCAGCATGCTTCTGCTTTGATTTCGACATTTGTTTTTCTGTTTTTTTGGTACTATCTTGTGTAATTTGAATCAGATCAGCTGTTTGTACTTCATGTTGCTCAAGCAGCCTTTTTTGCTCTAAAATGTACAGACAAAATAATCAGAAGTTAGAATTTCTTTAAAATTATACCATCATTGATTAAATCTTTCTACTGTACAATGGTTTTTAAACTATTGATTGTAAGAACAACCCTAAATTTAAATTTGGATTTTTGGACTAGCCTAAACATACACATGATTTRAACAAATTTATAAGAAACATGAT